CTCTCTCCTCCTCCTCTCTCTCTCTCTCTCTCTTCTTCTCTCTCTCTCTCTCTCTCTCTCTCTCTCTCATCCCTTTTTCTTTAACTCCATTATGATTTTACAACTTTTCCCTTTATAGTAATCAAATTTGAAATCAGAAGGTAATTCAAATATGCATGCTGCTGGCTTTATGCTGCTCGTTTGCCAGTCGTCCTGCATGTCTTGACACGTATTCTTGGTTTTTAACAAATTAATGGTGTCTTTACAGATGAGAACGAACAGTGCACCGCGGAGAAGAGCAACGACGAGGAACCGGAAGTCTGTGAGGTGCCCTTTCACGGTCAGCTCAATTACCTGCTCTGCGACTCGCCGATTCTGAACAGCGTGGAGGCAAATGTGGTCCAGAAAAACGCCAAATCCTGTCAGCAGTTCCGTTGCGACGGTTGCGGTAGAGCTTACACGAGGGTAGACAGCCTGAAACGTCATCAACAAAAGTGCGACGAATTCCTGGCGTCATTCCAGGATCGGCAGGAAACGCTAGAAAGGCTTCAGCAGCAGGAATACTATTGCAATCAATGCGGCAAAACATATAGGAGGCTGGATACTCTACGCCGGCATCAACGACAAGTGTGCGGTGACAAAGACAGCAATCATTCCTCCAAAGTGGAAAAGGCCAGTTTATAAGAAGAAGTTCAATCGTTATGTCGATCTAATTTTAGAGAATTAAGACAGAGAGTCCGTTGTGATGAAATGAGTAATACGATTTTACGAACAGAATTCTGAACTGACTTGCTAAATCTGTCGATAAAAATGTCGGCTAATTTATTATACAGTTTAAATAGCGCTTTTAAAAAAGTGACGTTACACTGACGTAGCAATGACTGATTTCCTCATAAATCGAATTATAGCAGATTATTAATTGCGCGATATTAACGTCCCGCTTCGTTAAAAATGTGAACAATTCGAAAGAGAGAACGAAAAAGAAACAGAAAGCTCTATGTGTTTTTATTGTATGAGAGAAATAAAGCAGAGAAATTTTAGCTTCATATTCTATACAAACTCTATTAGACATCTAATGATATTTATGAGATAAGCGTATACAAGATCCAAAAAGTAATGCGTAAATAAATCTCTATATTGTTCACGTGCTATTAAAAAATTTATGAAGTATTTGTATAAATTTATATATAAATTTCGTCCAAATCTTTGGCAACTGCCGCAACGCAAATCAATAAGAATTATTAGAATTTCATTTATTTTGTATGAATTGTGTAACGAAGAAAATTAATGAGAATTATTAGAATTTTATTAATTCTATATGAATTGTATAACGAAAATTAATGAGAATTATTAGAATTTAATTTATTTCATGGATTGTGTGTCTCATGTTAAACATCGCTAGTATATACAACACTTCTTTTAAGCAGCATTATAGGTTTCTTAGTCACACAATATAAGATTCAAAGATCAAAATAAAATAAATTATATATATATATATATATATATATATATATGGATGTAAGTTATATGTATGGATTTATTTTATGTATTCTATTTATATATATCCTTCTCTACACATTATTAGTTAAGCTTTTTTTTTTTGCAAAAATAAAATACCACAGATATGTACGGGTGAATAGAAGAGATAATTTCTTTTGGAATAATCGCGACAATAATAACTGTATAACAAATAAATCACGATTATTTAAATGTCAAAAGCAACGATGCCGCTTTCTTTTTGTATATTCCGATTCTCAAGCATGACAGAAACTCGATTATAAGATAAAACGCTAAACTATTTCAAATTCATTTAATACAAATTGAAGTTATCACATAACATCAGTCGTAAGCACATTCGTCTTCATCGCACGCACAGCGAATTAATATGGAGAGTTCATAATTTCGAATTTCACGTTTACAGAACAAATTGCTAAAGCGTTTTCGCCATCGTTCTTGGGAGGGCTATCAGGGTCTTGAGAACTTTCCGATGTCGTTGCATGCCGTTCACTTGTATTCTATAGTCTCGATCTCAAATTAAATGTCCGCGACGCGACGCGATTTTCCTCTGTAACTTTGACCTCGTTTTAAGCAATCCGGACGTCGCCTAATTTCTGGCACTTCTTTGCTTTCTTGCCGCAGGAGCGGATCAGCCGGAGGAATACGACGCCTTGTGGATGCTGGAACGAAAGGCGCGCAGCATCGGCCAAGAGTGTCAGGAGTCCCTTCCGTTCCCGAGCAAGTCGTATTCGCAATCGAAGGTCCACGACACCTTGAATCCTGGCGATTATTCTCTTACTCAGGTATACGGCGGGGATTCCTACACGCCGATGATGCAGACCCACTACCTTTGCACCGACTGCGGCAAGAAATACAAGTGGCTGGACAGTCTGAAGAGACACCAGAGGGTGGACTGCGGTAACAAGGAGAAGAAATTTTCCTGTCACGCGTGTGACCGAAAGTTCAAGTACCGATACGAGTTACGGAATCATATCACCGCCTATCACGACGGGTGACTTCTTTTCTGATCTCTCACTTTCGTGATCTCGAGGAAGCGAGTTGGTGGATTGAAGAAATGTGACCTGAGATACGATTACGTCGCTCAAATATATTTGTGATTACGATTACAGTTGATGATTTGTCAGCAATATGCTGACAAATTTTTAGAAAATATTATATTAATAAAATATTCTTTACCGGAGAAATTTTCTGTGTATTGCTTAGATAATAATGATAAATAGGACTTAGAGAATATTTATTTAATCTCGTGTTAATCTTGTTTTTTTTACATTGCGCAAGTAGAAAATTCAATATATGTATTTAAACAAATATAGATTACTTATGTAATAAATTTTATAATATTGCATCTTATTCATTATCAAAATTTTTTTATAACTTTTAAGATTTTGGTTTTTGAAAACTGCGAGAAAATGAGTTTTTTTGTTTTATGTCATTTATATATATTAAAAATATTGTTATATATTGATTATTATTATTATATATTAAAAGTTGACCTGAATAATTAAAATAATAAAGTTACAAATACACTACATATAATTTTTAAAATAATTTCTTCTTCTATTCTTCTTCCTACAATCTTTTCAGCAACAATAATCGAAACTCTATTATATTTTTCAATTACTATTATATTTTTTTTATATTATAATAAGATAATTTAAATATTTTGATTATAGCTGTGATATGATGAATTTCATTTATATCTCATCGAACAGATGCAGATGTCTCGTAATCGAAATTATAGAGATTAATAATATTAATTACACGTTTTATTACTTGACCGACGTAACGAAATTTATAATTTCCATTAACATTTTCATGTTCAGTGTGAATAATATAGTACATAATCAAAAATATTTCTGAAAATATAATCTCGCCTACATATATTAAATGTATCAAAAAATCAAATGTATGTTCCACAAGAGAAAGAGCAACAAAAAAGAATTTTTCCCTCTTATAAGAAAAAAAAACAAACGGATCTTATAAACCTGAAAAAAGTCCTAGAAGTAAAGAGCGCCTTTATCTGTTTACAGCCGCTTTTATGGTGAATGGCTACGTGTAACTCAATTCATGCTGTGTATGTCCGTGTCTTTGTCGTGATTCTGTAATAATCCTTTCTAGGCTAAACCGTGATCGCCAATCCCCATGGCAAAAGGGCGCGAGGATTCCAGCGAAGCTTTACTGACTCTCTTGTATGTTTTCTAGAGCGGAAACCAGGTGACGCCATCGAATGGTACTATCAGTATCAGACGATGTATCTACGGATGATGGCGGAGAACCAGTTGACGGGTAGGACGACAACGAGAGCGACGGCAACCGAAAATCCGACGAGCGGATTTTGCCCGGACAACGTCGATATCGAGAAAATTCAAAACGGCCAACCGCTGGCGGAAGTCAACAGTAATCAGGTAACGGCGAGTAATCGCGATTACTATTGTCCACGTTGCGGCAACGCCTACACGAGACCGCACTCGCTGAACAGACACATGAGATTCGAGTGCGGCGTGGAGCCGCAATTCGAATGTCCCATCTGCCACAAGAAGTCCAAGCACAAGCATAACCTGCTCTTGCATATGAGAACTCATCAGAAGTCTTGAGACCGTTCGGTGCCATTCAACGTTACGCGAGGAGAACGCATTTGAAAAGTTTGAAGAGTAAGTTTGAAAACCACGCGCGTTTCACAATTTGAAATGCGCGTTTATATAAATTCAATCGGGACAATCAAACAGAAACTGTTCAAAAAAATGAATTAAATTTACAATACACAGATCGAGAGTTAAGGTCCATGAGATTCAGACTGATTCTTTTACGTTGAATACTATATATTGTTATCTTTTCTCTTGATACTCACGGATACTTATGAATATTATGCCTCAAATGAATTATTAATTTTCTGGATTAATTCACGTTACTTACAATCCTGCTGGTTTTTTTGGATTTTTAAGAAATATTCAATAACTCCTTATTTGTTTCTCTTTTGCGTGAACCTCACTTTGTAATTAATCATAGACAATAAATATTCAAAAAAGTTAAATGTTAAATATATACAATTAGAAATTGAACCGATAATTTCTAGATATATTTGATATTTAAGCGATGTATATTAATTCAAAGAAAGCAGCAAGATTAAGCTTTATTTTTATAGATCTTAACTAATTAATTAAAGAGAGCTATATCTAACTATAATCTAACTACAATATATAATATTTTACCATACAAGCCTGCTTTAAGAATGTACTTGTTTATATAAAGCAAAGCTGTCTAATTTATAATATAAACAAGAAAACAGCTAATTAAACAGCTTTGTAATTATGAAGTCCCCCAAAGAATAAATAAGATAAAGATCAAGAGACGCCTGACGTATTAAAAAAAATATTAATATATTATTTTTTAATATATTTTAAATAGTTTTAATCTCAACTATTAAGTTGCAAAGAATAGTTACATATAAGAAATTCTTATTAAGGTGAAATCTTTAAGAATTTAGCCTTTACTACAAAAATAAACGAAGTTACCGTAAAGATTACTAAAGAGAGATGTCGTTTTCGTTACTTATTCTAATTAACCAAATTTATAATTGAGTGCAATTATATTTAATCAAAGGTTTTTAACATAATTAAGAAATAATTTTATAATTAACAAATAAATAAATACAAGACTCGATACCAGCAAGATTATTGGTATCGTATAGCCAGTAATTTTTATGAATATGTACGTAACATGTGTTCAACAAATTTTACTCCACTAGAAATTATATTTATTATAATATATATACTTATATATACTTATATATATACTTATATATATATATATATATATATATATAATAGAACTAAATATTCTTATTAAACTCTTATTATTTATACTTTATATAGATGAGATTTATATAAATTAATCAGTTAAGTTTGATAATCAAATTAATTATGTATTTTTTTATGTTTATTAAATTGTTATCAGCGATGATGGAGCAAATTTTAAAATTAACCTTTATAGACTGATTTACTGCCATTATAATTTTCTTCAAATAAAGATTTTTATTGGCAAATAAAATCCAATAGCGGCAAATTGAATAATGAATTCAAACTTAAATTGTATTTTTTTTTGCCATTAGTATTAAATTGTTTTAAATAATTATTATAAAATAATCATTTAATACTATTAAATTTTAATACTATTTAATAGTATTAAATATCGATAGTAATAAACTGTAAATAATTTCTTATATATTAATTCCTTATGTATAAGACATCTGCGATGATTACATACGTGTCATATAAGAATTTAATTAAATTAAATTTAATTAATTTGCCAAATGAAATTGGCGAATGCATTTCCTCGAGGCGTCTTGTTATATCTGCTCACATGTATTTCTGGTCTGTTTGCCGATAATGAAAAGAATTACTCAAAAGAGTTAAAGTCATTATCTATAATCAGGAATAAACTGTGATTGTCAAACGCGCAAAATGTTAATTGTATATTATGCATACAAATGAAAAATTGTTTGGAAACACCAAATATAAAAATTTATGCGTATTTTCATCGCATGTTAAATGCGAAAATAGATGGTAATTAAAAGTAAGTAAGTTCTATATTTCTATAATGTAAGTAAATAGCAGTGCCAACGAAACGAATAGTCTGAACAACACATATGTATACAGTTGTGATACATATATATTATATTCGAGAGATATATTCTATAAATTTACATAGAAAAGAGTTCGTGACATGCGATTATCGCGTCTTCGCGTGTAATGAGCTCTCTCTCTCTCTCTGCCAGACTGTATGCACATAGAGACTTAAAATTTATGTATACATGTGAATATACATAAATGTACACATATCTTTACATTGTAACTGCAGTAAAAATAAACACGCATATTTTGTAACCTATAGAATTTTGTTAATATTTAGATATACCTACACTAACTTCCTGCTTTAGTGCCATTGGATTACATCTGCGAATGTTCAAATATCAATCTTTGATTTTTTTCACAAATTAGCCAATTAGCAATCTTTTTTGTAAAACTTTTCTAAAATGATCATGATAGTCCAATCGATACCACCAAAAATCTCTCTTATAATATTCTTCCAATATTATTATTATCCACAAAAGTGAAATGTAGCTAATTGGTAAATGCATGCAGCAATGACATATTTAAATAACATTTTAAATCGGGGATAGACAAAACTCACGATTGTTAAAGAAATATTTAAGAAATATTTATTATATATTACATATTATTTTTGTAACTGAATTTAATCGAATATATTAAAATATAATGAAGGGACGTTAAATTTTTTTTTTTAATAAATACTACAAAACAAAATAGTAATAATAAATAGTAATAATAAAATAGTAATAATAATAAAATATTACAATAAATAAAACAATTTCGGGATGTATTTGAGTTAAGTTAATAGTTAACCGTTAAGTTAACAGTTCCGACGATTTGTCTATCCTCGATTCAAATCGTATCAAAATTATCCGTTGCAGAAAGAAATCCGTTTTCGTTGAAAATGCCATGCAATGCATAGCGCAATGCAGTCTATCACATAAAATTATCAAATTCCGATAGAAAACCGCCCGCTTCGCAAAATGCATGTAGTTTAGAGACTAGAAGCTGCGGGAGACCGCGACGCAGGAGCAACGTGCGTGCGCACGTGGACGTGCAGCAACGAGACTGAGATAATATCTACCTGTTGATAAGAGAGAAAGAAGTCTGTGTGATGATCGCCCTGACTTGCGGCATGACTCGCTACACGCTATATACACTCTCGGTGTTCTCGTTTTTTTTTTGCGTCTCGTTTTTAGCCGCCTGTAACGCTTCTCTAGTTTGCACACGCTCGTCCGCGAGAGCACGCGAAAGGAAAGGAGGGAAGAGAAAGGGGGAGGCTGTGCCGTGTATGTATGTGTCTTATATTCTATTTCCTTTCCGACGAATGTTTCAGTTTGGAAGCGATTGAAGGACGCGGAAGAGGGGCCGCCGTTTCTTTGCCCGAAATGCGGCCGCACTTACTCGCACAAGTGCAATCTGACGAGGCATTTGCGCCTCGAGTGCGGCGTCGGGCCCAGATTTCAGTGCGGCAATTGCAAGAAGCGATTCAAGCACCGTCACCACCTGCGGGACCACCAGAGGATTCACCTCTACGCGAACTGCGGCTACGAGTCGCGTAACTGAGACGTCGCCCTCCCACCCAGAAAAATCTGCTCCCTCGCGCCTCCAACGCCCCCTTGTTCGCTCCTTTTATTTATTTATACGTGCGTTTACCCGAATTATTTATTCGCCAATTTCGCGAAGGCGATGCAATCTGTGATCCTTTGAGTACCTGGAAGGTACTGAAAGCAGTTACACGTCTTACTTCCTCGCCATAAGCTTGTCCAACGGAACGGTGCAATTTTTGCAAGGCTTGCTTACGATTACTTCTTCAAATACAATTGTAATTTTGTTGGGCATTGTACGTTCATTCAGGACGCTGATCCGAGCGAGTGGCTGTTAAATCATAGCATTTTGTAGTATTGTAGTACGCAAAACCGCAAAAGAAGTTAGCGTTATCTCTAAATGTTGTGCCGCAAAGCGTAAGTGACACAAGTGTATTTAAGCTGTCGTCGATAGAGGAAAATCTCTCGAATTTCAAAAGTATCTAAACCCTTTATGCGAGATTCACTGAAAACGTTGATCTATTACGAATATAATTGCACAGATTCGATTTGCGAAACACCATGAATAATGTTAAGAAAGAAACGCCATTAAGGACACTTCAACGGCATGTATACTTAAACATTGCTATTAGAATTAATGATAATTATTTAATTTATTAAATGAAGAATAGCTTCGGGATTACTGTATTTTCGATGTTTGTGCCGTGTGATCGTCGAAATTCGTGCCAAAAGAAGATAGCAGTAAGTTATAATGGATTTTGTACAGTAAGTACAAAAGTATCTAGATACTTGGATGCAAATATTTATTATATAAATACCACGTCTAGATACAAGGTGTCCGATACAACAACGAGCTGCATGGTACATTTGTAAATTTAGATATTTATCATACTGAGTATACATAAAAAAACAAATGGCCGTAATTAAATCCGTCTTGGGAAGAAGATTTCGTGTAAGAATTAAAAGTAGATAGTTTCCGTCAGGAAATTATTATATAGGAAAACAAAATTCATGGAAAAGGTTGTAAGATGATTGATTATTCCTATTTTCTTTGCGTATACCAAAAAATATTCCAATCTTGCACTTAATTCAGGAATGTTTCTATTAAATAATTTTTTCAGAATGTTATATAATTTTTTTAAATATTTTCTTGTTAATTAATATTTAATATTATGTTAAATAATAGTGTTGTATTATTATTTCATTGTTACTTTTTTATGAAGAAAGAAAAGTTTGCTTGTTTTTACTTTGTTAAGAAACTAGGAATTTATAAAAGGAATAAAGCTCATATTGTTATGCATTTCCATAAATTTTGAATAAGTCAGACTAATTGACGCAGGAAGTACATATTAAAAAGCGATTGCAAATACCTCTTGATCGTGCCAAACATACGCTCTAGTCCCTACGTTTGAGATTTCGAGTATTATAGTTTTTCAATAAAATAAGTGAAACACACAATATATATATATATATATATATATATATATATATATATGTGTGTGTGTGTGTGTATATATATTTATGATAATCCTAGAGATATATTTAGCTTTTCATTAGGTATTCTCGAACTATTAAACAATTATAAGCTTTGTGTGATTACATAATGAACAACGTACCTCAATGTTTAATTTACCAAAAATCAGAAAGGGGACATTTAAATATTTTTTTCTCATCAAGAATAGTGTTTGTACTTTTATGATTCTATAAAGTAATATCAAGCTATATATATCAAGAAATATTTTGCGTTAAATTTTTATGCCACACTTTATAAATTATATGTTATTATTGACTGAAATTATCTGTTGCAATATACATAAATTATAATTCTTTCCGCTGGCAGAATATATAAATAATCGTTATCTCTCAACTAATCTTTCATTTTTTATTTATTATTTATTATAATTTTCTACATGCATAAGCCTAAATTACATTTGACATTTTTTTATCTATAAACTTAAATGCGTGATTAAAGACAAGTTTTATTTTTTATGAATAATTACAGAAAGAGAAGAATAAAATTCAATGTTTACGATACACATTTATTTATTTTAATAATACAAAATTTAATTAAAAACTTAATTTTGAATCTATCTCTTGAAGAATAGTTATATTAGTTAAAGGTTGTACGATCCCAAACTCGATTTTCTATAAGAAAATCAACTATTACAATATCAAATGTAATTTATAAATAGCATCTCCAATTTGTTCAGGTTTTAGAATTAAGTTGAAAAGCAAAAAAAGCCTTTTGTATTTATATTATACAAATGACTTATAAATATTATATATAACTTACAAATTATACCTGAATACTTATCCTTATCTACATCTGAATTATCTTTTTGCTCATTAATATTTTTTTGTATAAAATTTTAATAAAATTTTATAGTAGTGAAACCTTTTAAATAGATCAACAGAAAAGAATTTTAAAAATATATATATTTTTAATAATAAAAAAGCGCATTCACTAATTTTAAATTATTATTAACATACAATAATACTAATTTAAATTTACCTACTAGTATTTTTTATTTAAATTACGCAATATTTTAAAATCAATATACTTTTTACTCCAATTTTACGAATCACAATATTTTAATTACATTATTATACAATGAAAAAATTATTTTGAGAATTTAAAAATTAGCAGATGATTTATTTTAATCGTGCAATGTTCTTTACGAAAATACTTTAAATAAAAATAGGAAAAAACTACAAATATAAGTAAGTTACATATAATATATTATATGGTAAAATTCATAATTGGAGAAATAATTGTGCAAGATGAAACTACTAATCTTTTCCATAAATCATGAATATATCCAGAAATGAAAAAAAATTGATGGATAATTATCTAGCACAACTATGATCAGTTTTATTTGTACATCAACGAAATACTGACGAGACCAAGAGAAGTCTCCAGTTCATGTAAACTTGTGCGTTGTAAAATGTGAAAAGAATTATAAATCGATTTCATAGCACAAAGACATGTATGAAAAATAAATTTACTTTTTATGAACAATTGACTTCTGCATTTAATTCGCTGTCCTCAAATCCTTTCATGATGATTCCATCGGGATCTCTTTAGATCGTCCAGCTTGGTGTAGCTGTGAAAAATAATCACGATCGCTGTTAATACATGAGTAAGTATAATGTTGCTAAATTTATTTACATAATCAATAATGTATAGAAAATATAATGATGATATATAAAAGCACCGTCCGAAACTACGATCGCATAAAACTTGAAACTATCGCGCGCTGGCTTTGTTAACACGAATTTCCATTATTTAGCGACGAATTTTTCATCGAACGTAATAATAATATGATATTACATAATAGTTTCTTACCTAACGGAATGTTGTTCGAAACGAAAAAGACTTATTTATTTGCGTATGAAGAATGATTTATTCTCTTTCCGTGTGAACGGGCGTGTGACGGGGAAATCAAAATTTAGATCTCAACGCACTGCTGCCAACTTGACGATTATTATTCTCAGAATTATGTTTCTCATAGCTGCGCCATGCTGCATTTTCTGTTCGCTCATAATCAGTTTATATGATCAATATCATAATCAATTTGAATTGACAAAGATATATAATTAAGCTAAAAAAGAAATATAGACAAAGATATATAATTAAGTTAAAAAAGAAATATAGACCATATCAAATAACAAAGAATAAATGTTTAGGTTTATAATGATGAAAAAAATACTTTCGAATATTATATGATGTCTCTGTGTGCAGTTGCACTTAGTGCACTCAAAAATGAAATCGGAATTAAACATTTACTTCAAATGTTTTATTCATGTTATCGCATTAGGAATTGAACCTTGCAAAGAGAAATATGCAATATAAGACTCTTTTCTTCAATTTTCCTATAATTTTGTACATTTGTGTATTTTCATATGTAGAATATATTCTGAAAAGAAAAATTATCACTCAAGTCGCGTTTCTTTTTTTATTTCAAAGCGTCTAAAATCAATAAGTTAGAAAATGATAATTTAATAATTTAATTTATGGCTGTGCATGCTCATTCTTCGCTTTAATTAATTAAAAACGCAAATTATTTTTCTAATTTAAATTATAGCAGAGAATAATTTGTGATTCGAAATTTCTATCTTTTTCATTCTTTTTATGTGAATTAAAGTTCAAATCTAACATCTTTTTGGGATTTGAGCAATAATTTTTTTTTCAGAATATATTTATGCATGAAAATATATAAATTTACAAAAAATTACAAAAAAATTACAACAAATACAAAAAAATCGTAGAAAAGAGTGCTATACCGCATTATTGCATATTTACTGAATCAGCTGATTACTTTACAAAAACAGATTTTTTTTTTATGCCAATTGACGATTGGTAGCCATGTCGCAGGCAACATGATGGAGCCGTGCGTGGCGCACGGTGGTTGTTATCTCCGAAATTTTATCGGAACTCTGTAACATCGATCTGTCACGCATGCAGTGCTGAAAAAACCTCTTCTCGGATCTAATCTATCACCGCCTAATGTTATCACGTTTTAATTATTGGACTTAATTATGAAAAAAAACGTGATACGTAAAAGCGTGCGTTTAGGTTAGCGGTTAATTTTCTCAGATTGATAGGATAGTGCAAAGAAATTCTAAAGAAATGTACATTAATATCTGTCAACGATTGACACGAACTTACGTGAGACAGATATACACTAGCGTGTCGCGAAATTTAAGGAAGGAACATTCTGGCAGCTCGTTTCAAAAAAAGTTGCGCTCCACTGCCTTCTATTGGGCTGGAGTTGGAGTTCTGGTAGCTGGATTGAGTTACTCCGCAGTGCCTTTGTACAGAATGTTTTGTCAGGTGCAAAAACGTCTTTTCAAAGACTTTATCATATCTTGTTTTTGAATTATATCTTGCCTTGCTTCAATGAATTCAATATTATTCAATAATGTATCCATATATGCATTATTTTTCTTTATTGGTTTTTTTCTTTTATTATATAGTCCTACAGTTATGGTGGAACAGTGTCAGCCGGTCACGATACTACTAAAGTACTTACAATGTTGCCTGTTAAGAACAGAACGATCAAGATTAAGTTTAATGCAGATACAGCAGCGTCAATGCAGTGGAATTTCAAGCCACAGCAAAACGAGATCACAGTTATTCCGGGAGAGACAGCACTGGCGTTTTATACAGCTACAAATCCGACTGATCATCAAATTATAGGGATATCCACATATAACGTTTTACCTTTCGAAGTAGGACAATACTTTAATAAAATTCAATGCTTCTGTTTTGAAGAACAGATGCTTAATCCACATGAACAAGTAAGTCCATTACTATTACATATCATATGAACATAATTATTTTTTTTGTATATTCAACAATAATTATAGTTATTCTTTTTAAATATCAGTTCTTATTTTAACAAAAATTCTGGATATTTATATAAATGTGTAATCTGTGAAAGTAGACAGAAATAATGTAAACAATAATTTTTGTATATTAAGGTTGATATGCCAGTGTTCTTCTACATTGATCCGGAATTCACGGAAGATCCAAAGATGGAGTTTGTCGACGAAATAATTCTCTCTTATACATTTTTTGAGGCCAAACCAGGATTCAAGCTGCCTGTACCAACCTACGCCAAAAGTCATTCAATAAAGTAAAGCGTAATTATTTCCAATAGTTACTATAATTGTACAGATGAATAAATAATTATTGTATATATTTCTTTCCAAATTTTCTTCGGATGGAAATATCACGTAGCCTAAATTTCTCTAGGAGTGTATTCCAAATGACACGATTGAACGTTTTCGTAAATGTAAATGGCAGTATTCATATGTAAAGCGACATTAACGTGGCATTAACAGAGAATATATCTTTAAAATCTAAACAATGCATTAACAGGATACGCGCGTCTAAGACCGCAAACTTTTTCCTTATCGATGTATATCGCATCAATTTTAAGAGCAAGATCGTGTTCGAGCATAGTTCGAGTTCTTAGCAATTTTTGATGCTGATTCTCGAGTTCCTTCAATGCCTTGTGCATTCGCTCAAGTTGATGATTTATCTCGTCGATTTCTTTCTGAAGGCTGTAAAATGAAAATAATAATTTAAAACAATTGTTTACCTGTGTTACTAACACATTGTAGAAACGTATGTATTTCACCTTGTATAAGCGTAATCGCGACATAATTCCATATCAGGACGATGCATTCTCGCTTCCATTCTCGTGTGTGCGACTTTAGTTGCGTAACTCTTATCCGCGATGGCTTTGCGCATCAATTCCAAATTTTTCTCAACACCGAATATTTCTTGTTGTACCTATAATAATATTTCATCAATCACATTTAATGTAATGGGCAAATCACGTGCGTTACCTTTCTTACTTTTTGCAAATGCTGTTGAAGCTTGTTCTTCGCCTCGAGTAATTCGGAAGATCTGTGGGATAAAGCGTTGTTAGTATTACTCCAAGTATTCCACATTTCTTGAGCAACTTTATTAATAAGATTTTCGGCAGTGGTGCGTAATTGACAAGATTTATTCCGTTCCGTTTGGGACCTTTGCACTATTCTATTCACCGCGTCCGCCCAAGTTTCTTGCTCTGAAACACTAACAAAATAACAATTAATATAATACTTATTAAAAATCATAAAAATATTACGTTTAAATACCATGGATCATATTTTTCAATTCCAGAATAATATTGTAATCCATGAGTATGATTATTTAATTGATGGCAAATAGTGTCGATGCCTAAGGCACTCTCTTTATTCTTTAAATCCAGTTCTAATTGATTTTGCGAGGCTCTGCAGTTTCGTAACTACAATCAAAACAACGTTAATTAGGTAGGAATTATTAAAAAAAAAAAAAAAAATTATTAAAATATTTTACCTGATCCTTGCATTTGTCCAAACAAGCTTCCAGTTTCTTTTGATTTGTCCGCAAATTCTCTATTTCTTGCAACAAACATTTTTCCGACTCGTCGTGTACTAATTCTGTACCTAAAAAAAAATATGAGAATAAAATTATTTATTATAACTTCATATAAAATATCCAAAACATGAATTAAAAATAATTTATGTAGTATCTTACAGACTTTTTCTAGCTTCTCTATGATAAAGGCACTCCTCTGCGATATGTAATGGCCCTTCAATATCTCGTACTGCCTTTTCCAAGACACTTCGGCAATCGTGAAGTCTTTCGATTTCATGAAGCATTCTCTCCAGTTCCGCTGCCACTTCGTTACGCCAAAAAGTAATGTCATTTATCCTCTCGCCAAGTCTTCGATTGGTATCGTATTGACCATGTTGTATCTTTTCTTCGGCATCTCTGAAAAATATTCCATCTTAAATGTAATATCAGTTTTATATCATAATTCTTAAGAAAAACTATTGTACCTAATAATCCTCTGAGCATCGCCTCGTATCCTCTCAGAGTAATGCCTCTGCGAATCTGCCTCGTTGTAATATTTTACTTGTTTTTGGAACCATTCGTGTGGCGTGTATCTTGTATAAAGAGCAGCTTGTGACGCATGAACAGGATTGCGCTGATAGCCCGTAATCAGATTTGGAAATTTTAATGGTCGTGTACTCATTTTATTATTTGCGTCCAGGGCGTAACTTGATATCGACTTTGTAACCCTGCAAGAAAATAATATAATAATTATGTATTTCATGCATTTGTAACTAGCTAGAAATTTACTCAAGAAAACGGTAAAAATCTACAGAGAACAGACAGAAACATACAGTATACAGAACAGCATCAGTTTGTTAGATCAATATCTTTCTATGAAGGCTTCATAGAACAACATTTCCACAATTGTTGCTATAGAGCTGATAAAGCAAACGAGTTATAGCTAATCTAAATAAGAATTGAATCTACTTACAAGGGGATGACTTCGGTGTTCTCAAATCCGACATTCGGTCTCCATGGCAGTAAGTGGTGTGTACGAGTATAGTCACTTATACGGATTGGAACTGTTGGATCCGTGTAAGACATTGAACCTCCAGCTATACTCCATGGTTGCAATTGCTAATAAATTAAAAATACATATACATAAAAAAGTAATTGTCTCTTGTTTTATCTTTTATATTGAGTTTAAATTATATATCTCATATCATATTTATTTAATGCATCAGTATGTTTCTAAAACTATTTCTCTAAAACTATTATTTGCGACTAAAAATAATATTTTATTGAACTTTAAAAATAATATAGACGATAAACATCATAGTTATTTATTATATTAAATAAACCTATGGAATGTAAGAATATTATTGTAATTAAAAAGCATCTGATGCATTATATACATCAGATGCTATTTATGATATGAGAAAAATTAAGATAGAATCACTTTTTTGTTAAAACTTTTGTGTTAAATAAAAAATTTATATAATGTGATTTGCTTCTATCATTGTGATGAAAATTACTTTTTTTAAAATTAGAATATTAATACTAGATATTTTTGACAATTTCTATTTTTTTTAATAATATTTTTTTATATCTCTTAAAAATAGAATTTTATAAAATTTTCTAATCTTAATATTTCAGCACAATAAAGACAACAATTGATGAAAAATTGGAAAATCATATCTTTGATATGAGAAAAAAATATTAATTTAAAAAATAGAAATATTCAGAAATAACCAGTTGATTATACTTTATGACCAATTGATTATGACTTTTTGCTAAGAAGCAAAAGTATAATGATAAAGAATAATAGAGAAATATAAAATTACAAGCTGAAAGAAGTATAAGTAAAGAAATATAAGTTTATCATATGTTCTATATATGTTCTCTATGTTATTATCAAATCATCAATGTGCATATCAGAAAAGAGTTAACGATTCAACATGGCAGATGTACCTAGCGAAGCTCCTGAACGTAAATACACGCAAACTAATTTTAACCAATGTAACAAATAAATTGAATTAATTAGATATATATGAACTTTACGTTCATTGAGACTGCATACTCATTGGTGTATTATTTATATTGTATTGCGCTTTTAATCTGTCAGATGTCAAAAAGTTAAAGGATAGGTTAGAATAGTAGTTATATATTTTAACTTTGCTATATTTTAACTAACATCTTTCCTTATATTATTTAGAAAATTTATAATCTTTAGATTGTATTTAAAAAGCATTGACTAAGTAGTTTTTGGCTAAAATAATGAAAATAATCTGTCATTTTTATCATACTAATGATAATAAAAATTATCAAACTAATATATGATATATATGAATGATTCTTTATCTTTTTCTTGTTATGCATACATATTTACAAAGTGTAAGTAAAAGAAACTCATTCATATAAGAAACATTTTCAGACTGTCCTGGGACTCAGAGTGAGAATGCTGGCAAAGCTTCAGCTTGTGCTGGGTGTCCGAATCAGTCACTATGCTCATCTGGAGCTGCCAGACAACCAGATCCTGGCATTGCGCTTGTGAAGGAAAGGCTTTCTTTAGTGCAGAACAAGCTGCTAATACTTTCAGGCAAAGGAGGAGTAGGCAAAAGTACTGTAGCATCATTATTATCCAGGTGTCTCGCAGCAAATAATCCTGACAGAAATGTAAGTGTATAACTATCAATTAAAAAAAGGAAATGTGCTTGATAGGAATTTTGCTTAGTAGAAGATACAAAGATTTTATGCATTTAATTTTTTCTTATATCTATGCTTTATATCATCTATGCTAATATAAATGTTATATATTTTGCTGTTGCTTAAGTAACTTCATTCTTATGTGACAGACACAGAAAAATTTGAAAAACAAATTAATATAGTAACTTACCCTTCTACCCATTCCAAGTACATCCATGTGATTTTCAATGTACATGTTGACATAGCGAATGCCCAGCAAGTAGTTTGTAGAAAACAACCTCAGACAGCAAATATCTATAGTCAACTAATAGCTATATGTATGTGGTATCAACCTGTACCAGTCCGTTATTGATTATCAAACTTTTAGTGTTCCCATCCTCTTTCGATGTCTCAAATCAATAAAAATTTATGAATGTCAAGTATAATTTAATTAATTTTTCTGTGTTATATGTTGAAATTAAATATTTAAAATTTTATTGCAAATTTTAAATCTCATTTATATTTGTCTTATTTAGGTGGGAGTATTGGATATTGATATTTGTGGACCATCACAACCAAGAGTACTAGGAGTACTTGGTGAACAAGTTCACCAGAGTGGATCAGGATGGTCCCCTGTAGTAAGTAAATTCTTTGAAGAATTAATGTCAGTAAAAAAAGTCATCATATAACGTTGCCTTTATTACTTTGTTCTAGTATATTGAAGATAATTTGTCACTAATGTCAATTGGATTTTTGCTCAGCAGTCCAAGTGATGCAGTCATTTGGAGAGGACCAAAAAAGAATGGTATTGTGTGCTTTAAATTTTATTTTTTATAATCCTTGTTACATTAGTACATGATATTTTATTGTACATCAACTTATTAATTTATGTTCAGGTATGATCAGACAATTTCTCTCGGAAGTTGACTGGGGGAACTTAGATTATCTTATTCTGGATACACCACCTGGTACGTCGGATGAACATTTGTCAGCTACATCATATCTCAAGGGTGCCGGCATTACGGGTGCTATAATAATCACTACTCCACCACAAGTTGCTCTCTTAGACGTCAGGAAAGAAATAGACTTCTGCAGAAAAGTAAACGTTCCGATCTTGGGTGTAATCGAGAACATGAGTATCTTTGTGTGTCCTAAGTGCAAGGTGAGGACAGTGATTTGAATAATAATGATAAAAAGATGAAAGTATATTATGATTGACAAAACATTTTTGTATGCAGAATACTGCTGAAATATTTCCAGCTTCGACAGGCGGTGCACGGGCGATGTCGAATGAATTAAATGTCGAATTCTTAGGCTCAATACCTTTAGATCCATTGTTAGCCAGATGTTGTGATGAGGGTAAAAATTTTCTGACAGAAATACCAAATTCGCCAACTGTTAGTACTTTAAATGGAATTTGCAAACGTAAGGTTTTATTATACTTTCATATTCTATTATACAAAAAAAATAGTTGATTCTTCATGAATTAAAACTAAAAAAATTTTGCTTTCAGGCATTGTCCAAAAGTGTGAAGAAGAGAAAGAGAATTGTCCCAATAATTCTCAATAATAATATTGAATGCATCTTGTTATGATAATTTGTGACAAACTCTCTTATTAATAAAGATATGGGATGTTTTATAGCAAAACTTTCTTGAGAAAGTTTCCATATTCTAAAACTTCACAAATAATTGTCCATCATTTTCTCAACAACAAAAAGAAAAGGATTATGTTAAGTCACTAAATGCTCACAAAAAAAATTTCCCAATCTTTAAACTCATTTCGTTTTTCAAATAATTTTTGCTTATTCTGAAATAGCATTTTTAAAGATGTTCATTGTGTCACACCTTTTCATTGTGTCAAAGGTGTGACACAATGACCCTTTTCTCAAAAAGGGAATTCATCTTGCACAAAGATAAAACGATTCATTGTGTCACATCTTTATCTGTCTGTCTTGTTAAAAAATTATATTTCTCCTTTTTGTTACCATAACATTTAGTTAACTTGACATTAACATGATCTTTTCTTTGTAAAAATTTATTAAGATTGTAATAACTAGCTCTCAATCTGTTAACTGTTGTGACAAAATTCCCTTAATTGTATTTACTCCATAAAACTATATGAATATCTTTTTTTATAAGGATTTGAAATAAAGCTCTTTTACAATTATTTTCTTAATTTCTAATAAATTTTCTCAAATATTTCCTGTTTAAAGTCGCTTTTAAGATCCTTAAAGGACTTTAAGTTAAAAATTTATCTGCTAATTCACACGAAATTATAATGCTAATAAAATGATGCAAGGTCACACTTCGTGAAACTGCGCTATCTTCGTCTTCATATCTTGTATGTATGTGACTCATCTTTTATGTTATGCATGCTTTGTTGAGCTTTTGTCCTCCATTATTTCTCGATACTGCGACGCCTACCGATTTCCTGTTCCTGTTTAATATTTGGTGAATAAGAAGCTACTGAAGATTGTATCTGGTCTGTTTTGGCTTAGCGTGCCAAGATTATTCAAAGAGGAGAAGAGAAAGGTGAACGATAAGGATGAAATGATTGCAAAAGTGTGCGAGCATCGGATATTATATGTCGGTATGACAGATTTCCTAACCTTCAAAAGATCAATTTTAACTTGACTATTTTATTTAGAACAGCGAGCGATAATCTTTTCTATTTTATAAGACGCTAATATAGAGGCATGATAATAGAGGGAGTAGGAGATTGCTGGTAGGAGGGGGAGCGAGGAGGGGGAAGGGAGGGAGCACAGTGCCCGGCGAACGGTTGACTTGTTTTTCGGTTAGAAGTCAGAGAGAGAATGTGTGCGCGAGGTCTTTATATTTCTTCTTATGTTCTCTATATATACGTTCGGCAAGGAAAATATATCATGTTATTTTAGAAGTTGTTGGTTTCCTTTAAGTTGTGCCTATTCTTATATTTATATTTATATTCGGTCATCTTATAATTAAAATTTTTGATTTTTGTTTTTAAGCAAAAAGGAATCGAATAAATGTAAATTTATTATATTTCAAAGATAGAGAGCTACATTAAATATTTATTTAATATTTTTTTTTCTTTTCAGATCTTTGTTTTTTGGTAAAAACGAATCAAATGAATGCAAATTCATTAAATTTTAAGGTGAGGAACCTAAACTAAATCTTTATCATATATATAATTTTTAGACTTCCATTTTGTTAACTGGTGTATTTGTTTTGCAAAAATAAAATACTTTATATGAATTTGTTAATTCTATCAATGTCTTTTTTTCAGGGATAGTACATTAAGAACCATAATAATTTAACAATTTGAGAAATGGCTGATGTAGAACCAAATGAGCAAAATACTTCTAAAAAATCAAATTCAAACAATATTGCGGCAAAATTCAAAACCATTGTAGTTAGAGAATTAAATAATGAAACATATAGGCCACTAACAAAAGAAAATCATGAAAGAAAAAAGAAGCTTGATAAACTATTCAGTCGTGATAATAACAGTCAGAAATGGATAATAACAATCTTATTTTTTGGCGTTATATTCGCGTTTCTATATTTTCTCTGTCCTTCGGTATTAGACAGATTTATGAATTCAAGCACTACTGTGAGTTATAATGAGAAAGTGGAATTTGTGATTGATATAAACAATGATACTATTGAAGAAACAAGATACCAGCATATATTAATGGATACTCCTGATATGCACATCATACAAGAAAAATATGATTACGAAATAGTGCCTTTAACTAAGGAAAGCGACCTATCTGAAAAAGACACAGTCTTAAACAGTGCTCAAGTAAGCAAAATCCAACATTTTCTAAATATAAAGAGTGTTTTAAGGTGCCAAATTTTGTCAGTATATTCTATAAATTTAGATTTAAAAAATGTTATATGAACATGGTTTAATGCTTTATTGAAAAGTTATAAAAATAATAAATAAAAATACAAAGAGTAAAATACAAACAGTAACAGACACGGCTATTGTGTTGCAATAGTGGAATAGATATCAGCAATATTTATGTTTAATGTGTTTGCGAACTGTATTTACCATCTGTATTTATTTATTTTTCTTTATTTATTTATCTCAAAGTTATCACAATGATGGTTATTTTGAAATGGAACAATTAGTTACAAATTTAAATAAAAATTAGTATAATCAGTATAATAATTAATATTAAATAATTATAATTAGTATTTGGCAGAAATTGATATTAATTTGAATGCTAATAGTAAACGTAACTTGCATAAAACTACATATTGCTATTCTTAACTGTTTCCTTGGAATTTTGTATATTTATAACTTTTTAATAATATATTAAACAATCTATGTTCATATAATATTTTTTTATGTAGACATAGGATGTACTGACAAAGTTTGACACCTTAAACCTTATATATTTGTTACAATAAAATAACTCAATTCATATTATTCATTTATACTCGCATTATTGTATTATTGTATTGTATTATTATATTGTGTTGTATTTGTTTAAAATAGTGCATCAATATTCCTGAGGTATTGCGTTTTGATTGTCATCCAGAGGCTGGAGCCTCGCAACTCTCCTGTACAGATAGAGGATGCTGTTGGAATCCTCCTAAGAGAAATGAATTAGAAAAACATGTGCCACTAAATATTCCTTATTGTTACTATCCTGAAGAATGGAATCTGTACAAATACACTAACTATAGTCAGGATGGTAATAATTTTTCAGGTTTTCTCAGTCGGAAGAGGGAATCTATGTACAAGAATAATGTGCCTCTGGTAAAAGTGGAAGCCACGAGCATAGATAGTTCAATTCTGCGAGTAAAGGTATAAATGAATATTCAGAATATATATATATTTATATAAATTATATAAATATTTTAATTTTATATTGCACCATAATGAGAAAATAATATAATCCTTAGATATATGATCCTTTGAAAGCACGATATGAACCTCCATGGCCGATTAGATCGGATCCGAAACCATTTTTATCTCAAGTTACTAACACAAAATATCAGTTTTATAGCGACGGTATACAACCTGGCTTTAAGATTAATAGAATTAATGATGGCACTACATTGTAAGTACAAGTTATTTCGTATATTATATTCAGAACATTATCTATAAAATTTTAATGGATTAAGTTTCTTAGTTTTTAATACTAAACAAAATGATGAAAATATCACTATCTAAATTAATTATTTAATATATTCTATGCCCAGATTTAATTCTCTTGGATTTGGAGGTTTTATATTTGCTGATCAATTTTTACAAATAAGCGCATTGCTACCAACAAACAATATTTATGGCATCGGCGAACATAGATCAAGTTTAAAATTGAATACTAATTGGCAATCATTCACTCTATTCAATAAAGATCAACCACCAACAGAAAATGTAGGTTGTTTAACATTATCTTATATAACGATTGGATTGTTATCGCGTGTTGCAAATATCTTTTTTATTTATTAGGCAAATTTATATGGATCTCATCCGTTTTATATGGTGATAGAGGAATCTGGAATGGCTCATGGAGTTTTATTTTTAAACAGTAATGCCATGGGTATGTTATTTTTCTAAAATGGATATACGATATATATATCGTTTCATTCAAAATAATTTTAATATTTCGCATATTCTAGATGTAATATTACAACCTACACCAGCTATAACGTTTAGGACAATCGGTGGTATCTTTGATATTTATTTCTTTCTCGGACCAACTCCAGCCGATGTAGTGAAACAATATTCCGATATCGTAGACAAACCGTTTATGCCACCCTATTGGTCACTTGGTTTCCATTTATGCAGGTATTAATAATATTCAATACAGTACAAAATAATATTCAATACAGATAATAACATTTTGTATTCATCAGATTTGGATATAAAACATTGGAAAAGACTAAGGCGGTATGGAACAGAACAAGAGCCGCTGGAATCCCATTTGTAATGATTGTTATATTATTTATAAAAGATGATATAAGAGAGATATAAATTGCTATAAATCATATTACATTTACAGGATACTCAGTGGAATGATCTGGATTATATGGAAAAAAATAATGATTTTACATATAATAAAGAAAAGTTTAAAGATTTGCCTAAATTTGTAGAAGAAATTCACTCGGTATATCGATATATTCATAAAAAATTATAAAATTGATAGGAATCAGCATATATCAGCAATTTTTTCTTTTTTTTCTTTACAGGTAGGAATGCATTATGTCCCTTTAATAGATGCTGGCATATCCGCTTCTGAAAATAATGGTTCCTATCCGCCCTACGACGAAGGAATAAAGCAGAACATATTTGTAAAAGATGGTATATCCCATAAACCTTTCATCGGCAAAGTCTGGAATTTTGTTTCTACTGTATGGCCTGACTTCACGAACCCTAAAACCCTAATCTATTATGCAGATATGATGAGCAATATGCATAAAAGTTTCGCATATGACGGTGCATGGATCGTAAGTTTTAATAGATTTAAAAAGTTACTTTAATATTTTTCAGCTACTCGACTTTTATTCAAATTATTTTAATTACGTCAAGGATATGAACGAACCATCTAATTTCTATAATGGTCATAAAGATGGCTGTACACATAATAACTTGGATTATCCTGATTATTTACCCAATGTCGTTGGTAATCTTCTCGCTACGAAAACTCTTTGTATGAATGCCGAACATTATTTAGGTTCTCATTATGATCTTCACAATACTTACGGAACGAGCCAAGCGATTGCCACGAATTAGTAAGTAAAAGTACAAATCTGTAAAATTCTAATTTTTATAAAAAACTTAAGAATTTTATTCTTAAATTAAATTGTGTAGTGCCCTTAGAAAGATTAGACTAAAAAGACCGTTTATAATATCGCGTTCGACATGGATAGGACATGGCCATTATGCGGGTCATTGGACAGGAGATGTTTATTCATCATGGTAATTAGAATTTTTTTCAATGTATACCTCGTTATAGTTTCTTCATTTATTAATTGAAAAATCATTCTATCAGGCATGATTTAAAAATGAGTATTCCAGCCATTTTATCACTCAATTTCTATCAAATTCCAATGGTGGGTGCAGATATTTGCGGTTTTGACGGGAACACAACTGCTGCTTTGTGCAATCGTTGGATGCAACTTGGTGCCTTTTATCCATTTTCTCGAAATCATAATTCCGATACTACAATTGTGAGTACTCATTTATATGAATTAATAATAAAATCATTCACGTATATTCTAATACCTAATACGATATACAAATTTAAATATATAGGAACAAGATCCAGTTGCTATGGGTGATTTAGTCGTAAAATCATCAAAAAATGCTTTGAAAATACGTTACCGGTTGCTACCGTATTTGTATACCTTATTTTTCAGAGCACATAAATTTGGGGAAACAGTAGCACGTCCATTATTTTTCGAGTATGTCAATATCTTGTATTCATATCCATATTATATATGCATGCGAATAATGTACGTATATTAAATATTATATAGGTTCACCGATGACCGGCAGACTTATGATATTGATACGCAATTTCTTTGGGGAAATGCACTTATGATTAATCCAGTTCTCGAAGAGGTACATCATTATTTTATTTTATTACTATATGAGATACTATAATATTTAATTAATCAATGAGATACAATTTACAGAACAAGATTGAAATACCTGTTTATGTACCACGTGGAATGTGGTACGATTATTATACTATTAGGTCCTTTTTCTCTATCGGAAAACATTATACATTACCTGCACCACTTGATAGAATACCATTATTAGTTCGTGGAGGCTCAATACTTCCAACACAAAAACCGGGTGTAACGACGACAGAGAGCAGAAAGAATGATTTTGAATTAATAGTAGTATTAAATGAGGCTGGGGATGCTAAAGGAGAACTATATTGGGACGATGGTGATAGTTTAGGTAAAACATTTTACATTACACAGCTATATATATTGAACTTATTTGATTATTAATTATTTGTTACTTTAGATTCTATAAAAAAGAAAGAATATTTGTGGTTGTCTTTCACTGCAAACAAATCCAATTTATTAAGCACAGAAGTAAATAAAGGTTCTTATAATGAAGAAGTAATTCTTGGAGCAGTACAAATTTGGGGATTGCGACAACAAGTTTCTAGAGTATTCCTAAATGAAAATGAAATAGGATTTAAATACAATGTCTTTACATCGGTAAATATTTCATCGAAAAATTAAAACGAAACAAAACAATAATTTAGATTGAATTTGAAGTTTTTAAAAACATTTAAAAATTATTTTAGATTCTAGATATTACTGGCTTGCAAGTGGATATGAGACAACCATTTACATTTTATTGGATACTTCAAGAAACCAATGACAGACAATATTATTAATTTATATTATTAAATATGAATTTTCTCCTGCGATATGCAACTCTCATATTTATTATTTTAATAATTAATATGGTTTTTATATATATATATATATATGTGATATTCGCTATAGATAAGTGATGTTTTTTTATGTATAATTTGAGTAAATATATTTTATCCAAATGATAAAATGTGAACAATTTCTGTATTGTACAAGTAGTACCTGAAAAAGCAAAGCAACTGTTGCTGATTTAAATAAATTTGAAATTATTAAAAAACTTTATAGAAATCACATTTAATTTTATTCAGAGAATTAATAGAATAGTAATTTGCAAGGAAAAAAAAAACAAGCGAATAAAGAAACGTGTTTATTCAAGTTCTCTCATACATCGCACAATAATGTTAATGTACAAATATGACTATGTTTAGTTTATGGCACTAAAAAAAACAATTAATATCCGGAAAAATAATCCGGACTTCATCGATGCTGAAAAGAAAAAAAATCGTGATTCGGTATCATTTACAAAAAAAAAAAATAGGAATGAAACTCGCAAAGAACACAGGCCGATTATTCTTGCGAGCGCTATTTATTTGCTTTGGCACCGTAACTTAAAATCATCAAAGAGACTTCGTCGAGGAAATATGGGAAGCAACGCTTCCCGCCGACCATTCAAAACAACTCTCTCTCGACCTCGATCTATATTCAAAATGCACTCCGACCCGCATTTGCATCCGCGGTTTGAACCGAAGCATAGATTTCGATCTACCGAATAAATTTGAAAACGCTAAGTCACTGCATGCGCCATACATTCGAGCTCATGTTAATACATTGAGGTGCGTCACGCATAAATACGCACTACTACCTTTCCTTCCTTTCATTTTACGGACATGCAATGCAAAATATATCTCGACGCCTGCAATAATAAAATGAAATTATACAAAACGTAACGGTACATACACAATATATATTTGGCAATGAAAGTAATAAAGTCTTTGGATTCAATAACATCTCGATCACTCTGCGTATAAAAAAAAAAAAAGAAAGGAAAAAAACATCGGAAAACAAATCTCTTTCCGAACAATAGTTTTCCATTGCATACGATTACGTTGCACAAAATAGCACCTCCTGACTACAATATTTTTGACTATTTTTAGCCGAACGCATGATCGAGAAATATCTTAATGGCACGTCGAGGAAAGGAACTTTACGTTACACACATCGAACCGGAGTTGCCCAAATCTAAGGATGTCGAATTAATTTTGATTTTATGCCTTAGCAAGAAAACGTTCTTGTTTGTAAAAGGTATTATTTGCATCATACATTTTCATGATAAATTTACTACTGTACAATCTTACTTTTGTTCATTAATGTGAAATGAATCGCAATTACTTTTCTGGCATCTTTAGAAACGAGATTAAAAAAGATATTCCTTTCCTCTCGCAACCATCAGTAAATGTATATTCATCTAATATCAATATGTATATATATATATATATATATA